TGTCCCGGATCAGGCTACTGGTGCTGCTCGGCTCCGTCGTGTCGGCTCTGAAGGCTGCGGCTGCCGAAGCCCTGAGTCAGCTCACCGGACTCTCTGCTCTGTGGGACCAGGTGAGTGAGTGTGTGTGTGTGTGTGTGTGTGTGTGTGTGTGTGTGTGTTGCTGTTGTCGAGCTGCAGTCACGTCCGGTTCTTGTGTTCAGGACCCGGAGCAGCAGCTGCAGGACTTCCTGCGCAGAGATCCGTCGCTGCAGGAGTTCAGCGCTCACGTCTGCTGCTACTCTGTGAGTCTGAGCATCAGCGTGTGGCTCAGCCGGCACAAGGTTCTGGTTCTACAGGGTCAGAACCAGGAGGGAGAGGGTTCTGGTTCTGCAGGAACATCAAAAGTGATTTTAATGACTTTTTAGGGTTTTCGGCTCAGATTTGTTAAACTGTCCGACAGAACCGTGGGTTTCACACGGTGTGTTCAGGGACCATCAGAAAGTCCAAAACCTGTCGGTTGTTTCTGGTTCTGGTTCTGGTTCCTGGCTGATAAATGCTGTCCAGTGTTGTTCCTGCTCTGACTCCAGCCATCACGGTGTGAACGTTTACCCATGATGCCTTGCTGCAGAAGCTGGAGGAGCAGATCGCGGAGCTGCCGGCCTTTCTCACCGTGGGTCCGGTTCTTCTCGACACCGACCAGCTGAAGCTGGCGCTCGCTCACGAGTGTCGTCTCCACAAACGAGCCTTCGGCGCCGCGCTGAACCGCCGGGCGTCCGCTGACATGAACGCCGTCTTCTCATTGGTGGAGGGGCTGACCAAGCGCCTGCAGCGTCCAATCACGGACCTGGAGGACGTGGGAGACGCGATGGCGGCGCTCAGAGAGGTCAGCCGGCGTCTGATTGGCTGCCTCCCTTCCTCTGACACGTTTATTGATCTGCTCGTTTTAATGAACCGTTGATCAGCGTGTCTGATGATTATGACATCGTTGTTCTTTACGTTCACTCCGTCCTTTGTCTCTTCTCTCCGACCTGGTTGAGGTTCGGGAGGAGGAGGCTCGTATCGACGCCACCATCGGCCCGGTGGAGGAATCCTTCGCTCTGCTCGGCAAACACCAGCTGCTCTTCAGCGACGGGAACGCAGAGCGCGTGGATGGACTGATGTACGCCTGGAGGAACCTCAACGCTCTGGTGAGGAACAAGGTCTACTGGTGAGAGGAAGGTCTATGGTGGAGGAGGAGAAGGTTTATTATGGTGGAGAAGAAAGTTTGTGATGGAGGAGAAAGTTTGTGATGGAGGAGAAGAAGGTTTATTATGGTGGAGAAGAAGGTTTGTGATGGTGGAGAAGGTTCATCATTGTCTCAGTGAACACACACTGGGTGTTCGCTCTGATCGGCTGCAGGCTGCTGAGTCATCAGTAGCTGCATTCACTGACACCTGGACACCAGAGCTTCAGTGAAGTTTCTGGCTCCTGCTTCAGAACACATGAAGTCCAGAGATGCAGAACCGGTGTTGTGGTTTCAGGTGGTGCAGAACCAGAACGTCCTGGTGGAGATTGAACCCAGCATGAAGGCCGAGCTGCTGAGCGCAGTGCGGAGCTTCCAGAGCAGCGTCGACAGCTTCTGCTCCGACTACAGCCTCAGGTGACCACGAGCGCTTTGGTTCAGACCATCTGACAGAATCGTGTCCAGCCAACAGACCCGGCCGACCCGCTGGACTTAGCTGCTGCTCTGTAACCAGTGTTTTTACACTAACGTCAATAAAACATACAGCACAAGGTTCAGAGTTTGTTTCTCATGAACACACCACCAGAAGCACATCACGTAGGAGCAGCTCTGTGTTCCGTTCTTGATGACTTCAATGAAGAACGAAGGTTCTAACAAATGAACTCGTCTGATTTGGACCTTTTTCAGCAGGTTTCATCTTCTTCATGTCATTTTTAAGAAATGAACTCATGAATTAACTTTAATGTTTTGAGCTACACTCGTGTCTTTGAACACGCGATTTAAATCCTGAAAGCAGCAACAAATCATAAAAGAACACGTAAATATGTCAAATGAACTCCTGCTGTGGCCCGTCAGCATAACGGTTCTGTTGTGCCGCTGCGTCCTGTGCAGGGGCCCCGGCGTGGACGGCGCCGCCCCGGCTGAAGCCAGCGAGCGTCTGCAGAGCTTCCAGGCCGAGTTCGAGCAGCTGTGGGATAAATACACGACCTACTCGGCAGGGGAGGAGCTGTTCGGACTGCCGCCTCACGGTAAGAGAGGCTCCGCCCACTTCCTGGTTTCTCTTCCTGCTTCCTAACCGGCCGCCTCCCTGCAGAGTTTCCTGAGCTGCACCGGATCCGGAGGGAGCTCTCTCTGCTGTCCAGACTCTACTCTCTGTACAACTCGGTCACCGGCAGCGTCGCCGGCTACTACGACCTCCTGTGGGCGGAGCTCAACATCGACAAGGTCAACGCGGAGCTGCAGGACTTCCAGAACAGGTAGAGCGTTGGGTGGGAGCGTTCTGACCGTCACCACCGTGTAACCGATCGGTACCACCGCTGACCCCGACCCAACAGGTGTTAAACAGTTCTTCCTTTGGTTTGATTGGCGGTTGGTAAACCAGCTTAGAGGTTCAGTAGCGCCGCCTGCTGGAGCAGAGTGGGCAGAGAGCACAGGACGGGTTCTGATGTTCCTGCTGCAGCACTAAATGACATGTGAGGGAAAGAGTCAGTGCGTCCAGTGCACAGTGTGGCCACTGCCCAACATCCAGTGGTTCTGCTACAGCTCCTATAAACAGTGCTCACCTTGAATCAGTCGTTTCATTTCCCTTGTTGACAGGAATTTACCTAAAACAGTCTTTCATGTCAAAGTGAAAACAGATCCCTACAAAGTCCGTTTATTTAAAATCTAGAACGTAGAACAGATGGTTTCATCAGAGTTCTCCTCCTTTAATGTACCTCAGCCAGGTGGTGCAGAAGTCCCACAGTCAGTAAACGCATCATCTGAGGTCAGTGAATGTGTCTCAGTGGTTGTAGTATAAAGACTCGTGTATCTGGAAGGTCCAGTCCCTGGTGGATCAGAACTCCTGGATAGAACCACACCATGAAGACTGAAGAACCCTCCAAGAACTCTGGGAAAGGTTGTTGAGAAGCATCAGTCAGGAGACGGTA